TATAATTTTCTTTCTGAAAATGTTCCGATGGGGTTTTATATATAGGGCTGGTAAGTAGGCCACCAACCAGTTCTACGGCTCAATAAAACCTGCAAGAGCCATAAAACTGTTTATTGACCTACTTACCAGCTCTATACCCACCGACTAAAATATTCAATATTTCCTTGCTCTGTTTTAATCATTAGGGCTACTAAATTAATACTTTATTGTGCAACTCGATATTTATTAGGTCTAAGAATTTAAGGGTCTATTTAGCTCATACTTTTTATTTTAACTATTGTTTCGTTGGTGATTCGGAATAGGATTTATTTTTCCACTGCAACGCTCACGATGTATGATACTGACAAGCAAAAAATAAGACAGTAAAAACGATGTTTTGATAAATAACTTGTATTTATTACAGCACTTTAAGGAGACAACATAAGTTCAACAAAAAAATATAAAGCAAATAGTTACCATGGACAGCTTATATTTCAGCCAAACATTGACGTCATACCACTATGTACAGTATTACATTGCACTTAAAATAACATTGTTGAAATAGGTTTAATACAACAAGGTGGTGCGCAGGTTAATTACAGTTTTCCAAGTCAGGTGTTCGATATTATAAACGTCTTCTTGTTTCGAAAATATGTTGATGGAGTTAACTCCCTTTTATTATTTACCGCTAACGTAGGTTGCCACAGGGGATTTGAAACCTTATTATTGTGTTTAAAAAAAGTTTACACAATGTAAAGTTACATTTTACTTTAATAGGAAATTTCAAGGTCAGTTATCAACTAAATTGGTAGCCTTGAAAATGTTTTTTTAGCGTGTCTAGTATCTCTTCGGATCTCAATACCCCCCCCCCCCCCCAGCCTGGGACTAAATGAAAAGTTATCTATAAAGAAAATATATAAATCAGCGTCCGTTCACCCCTGAAATTTAAGTGCGGCCCCCTTCCCCGTAAGTTTTAAGGGCAACCCCACCCCTCCCAAGTAGAATAATATCTGGTAGACACCCTAGTCTGACTCATTGTCTGGTGTTTAATTCGAGAAAAAATCTGTTCTACACGTAACTCTATAAATACAAGCCCTCGATAATGTTCGCTAAGTCTAAGCTTCTTAATAAACTTAAACTACACAAGAAATTATTTTACCATGGATCATAATTTGATTATAGACTGTATATTTCGCATTTTTTGTTATTGCTTGTAAATTTCGATTTTGCTTGTAATAGGCATTCTCGAGTAGGGGACAATAGGGCTGGTAAGTAGGTCACCAACCAGTTCTACGGCTCAATAAAACCTGCATGAGCCATATAACTGGTTGGTGACCTACTTACCAGCCCTATTGTCACAGGGACATTGATAGATGTGGTGTGATGGGGGGGGGGGGGGGGGGGGTTATGACCTTGACTCATACTATGACAACGTAAAAAGTATAATATGTATCGAGACCCTATCTAATGTGTCAGATAAAAACATTACCTTATGAGTTTTTAAGCAATACTTAATCCCTAGACAACAATAGCTGCATACATACCGTACAGACAATCCATGCTTTGGTTAGCATTCAGCTACCTCACTGTCACATATCGTCCTAATCAGTCACATGATAACGTAATATGTCACAAAATATTTAACTTATCACATTACAGCGAAACATGTATAATGAAGTAATAAAAAAACAGTTAAAAGGTGATGTATTCACAAAATGTTTTTATAAGTAATTGATTTCTTTCTAGACTTAATCATCTATTGCTTTCTCAATCATTCACACTCACGAACACCTTCATTTTTTTTAACAAAACACTTAGTAACACCCCAAAACTACTCCATACTATCATAGAAAAGTATTCTTTACTAAGATGTAACTTTGAAATTATTTCACATTTTCAACATTTTAAGCTTTTTTTTAAAAAAAAAAAAGTGAAGAAAAGAAAAAAAATCTCTCATGACACTTTTAAACTGAAAATAAGGAAAATAAAACATATTTTTTCATATATGTGCATATGGTATACCATACTTTGTGTTTCTTTTGTTGCGCAGTGATCCGATAAGCATAGCATGAACTACAGCGGAATGCTGACTTGGATGAAAACAAGATACGAAAGCACTGTTTTTACTGGGGTTTTTGTATTGTGGATAGATCTAAACCTATAGCCAGCAGCCCTGGGTTATTTAAATGTTAATTTTCGTAAACATTCATCAATCGGCATGGTTTACTTCTACGTCGACACCAAACAAATATGGATGACTGTTTTGATTTTTTACATTTTCTACTCTAAATAATGTTTTTTATATATATATATATATATATATATATATATATATATATATATATATATATATATATATATATATATATATATATATATATATATTGTATGCTCGCATACATTCAACAAAGGTCAAGGCAGCTTATGACTTGATGATAATCTTGTACAGCATGACATACCACGTAAACTAATGACGCCATGGCATTTACGTCACCAATAGGGCTTTAGCTTGTGATGAAGAAAACATTAATTTAGCTTATGTAATAAGGCAGTGTTAAAAAAAATTGTCTTCTGAAAGACTGACTTGAAAAGAGAATAACCTTTTCCCGTAGTTGGGGAAAAGGAGCTGGGGGGGGGGGGGGGGGTAATGAGCATAATTATTTGTAATTTTATTAAAACGACAAAAGAAGCTTTGTTCGAATTGTATAATCAAACCAGGAAAAAAAGAACATGATTCCTTTTTTTTTTTAAATCGTCAGACAACAGATTTTTAAAAAAAATCTTTGATGTTTAGACTTCAGTCGGGTTGTTTGTGCTTTTGACGTCAAGGCATAATGGCGGAGACGCTGAAATATTTAATTTGTAATTGTTTGTTTTAAAATGCTTATTCTAATAAATAATTAGGCCGTATTAACTCATTTGATTTCCTAAAAAAAATCGTGGTTTAAGAAACTAACTCAAAAAATTTTACTCTCATTTGGATGTAAAAATGATTTTTTTTTTTGGATTGATCTCAAATCGTTTAAATATTAGATATTTGACATTAAAATTCTTCATCGTGATCAAACCTGAAAAAGACTTTTTTTTTCCTCACAAGCACAAAAAAAAAAAATATATATTTTAAAAATAGATACATCAGCAACAAGTAACATGTTTTTGAAAAAGTTCACTTCTACGGTTCAAATATTGTATTGGACAAATGTTGTGCTGATTTGCATTAAATAAAAATTTTAACAGGTGTTTGTAACGATGCTTCAGGTTTTATAATCATAGTTACTAAAGCTACTTTGTCATCATATTTTTCTACAAATATGCAATTTTTATGAAATATTTTTAAATTCATGACTTGGTGGCTAACTTTTTCAATGATGTTTTAGTTTTACATTTGAAATTAATTTCTTTCTGTATTTATCGTTAAAGTGGTCTTTATACAATTGGTACTGGAACACATCAGTAATGTACATTAAGGTACAAAAATTGGTGGCTAACTTTTCAATGATGTTTTAGTTTTACATTTGAAATTAATTTCTTTCTGTATTTATCGTTAAAGTGGTCTTTATACAATTGGTACTGGTATACATCAGTAATGTACATTTAGGTTCAAAAATGCAATAGAATCTGACCAAGAAGCTGTAGCGCATGTTTTGGAATGCTACCACGTGATGCTGATAGCAAATACTATTGGTTGACAACCCTATCCCTGAAATAAGCATCCTTTGAAACTGTAGTCTCAATGCGTCGTCTGCTAAATTGTTATCCTTAATTTGGTTCACTTAGATTTTAGAACATGGGTGGGGGAGGGGTGGGCACTAAACATCAGTTCTGCCTTTCAATGGTATTTTCAGAATATTTAAATGTTTCCGTTTAGCAGCACGTTTTCGGTCGATAGTTTAGTCAGTTCTCGTGCAGTCCATGTGTTCATCATTAATTAAATAGCCTGTCCCTTTTTTAATGGAACGGCTTTTTATCGTGATGTTCATTCTTTTAAAATCAAGGAACTTTTTTTTGTTTTATAAACGTGTTCCATTTCCTGGCCAAAGCTATAAAATCCATTAACAGACGTCACTTTGACCTGTTCGTATCAAAGTTACTAGGCAGAAAACACTTTGAGAATCAGTAAAGGGATTTAATTTTATCTTTGTTGTGTGAATGTTGTGCTTTCTTTGTTATTTTTTTTTTAATAATATAAATCACATTTACAAGCGATATTTCAACTATGTAACTGCTTTATTGTCTTCAAGTGGTGAAGACTTGGACCCTTAAAGAACTATGCACATGGAATTTTATTGTATTAAAATATTCGCATTATTTTATCTTAGACATAATCCACGCGTTCTATTATGGAGATGTTAGCTGTTGTATTCTCTCCACAAGTCTGTTGATATCTCAGAAATCCATACACTGTATTTTGTCGTGTACGTTCGCAGATCAGTCCGTTGTAAACTGAGATGTACTCAGTTCTCTATTGATGAAGTTTGTAGAACTCGCTAGTCAGAACGTTCAAAGGACGGCTGGTATAGTCAAACCAGTCTGGATTGACTTTTAGAATCAGGTGTTAAATGGGATTAGATGACGGCTGATATATCCAACTCAGTCTCTATTGATTGTTTGGTGAGATTGGATGACGACTGTTATAGCAAACCCAGCCTCTATTGACTTTTAGAACCATCTGTTATATGGGATTGGATGACGGCTGATATAACCCAAACCAGTCTATATTGACTTATTGTAGAGCCAGATGTTATATGGGTTTGGATGACTGCTGATATAGCCAACCCAGTCTCTGTTGACTGTTTGGTGGGTTTGGATGACGGATGATATTGCCAACTCAGTTCTCTAATCATAAACTTGTAGAACCATCTGGTCTTGGTGTTCAGAAGAGGGGCTTGTGTCCGTGCAAATCCGTAGTGTGGGTCTACACAAATGCAGAATAACACCGTCAACTGTACATGTCCTGGTTCAGACTAGGGCTTGTGTCCGTGCAAATCCGTAGTGTGGGTCTACACAAATGCAGAATAACACCGTCAACTGTACATGTCCTGGTTCAGACTAGGGCTTGTGTCCATGCAAATGTGTAGTGTGGGTCTACACAAATGCAGAATAACACCGTCAACTGTACATGTCCTGGTTCAGACTAGGGCTTGTGTCCATGCAAATGTGTAGTGTGGGTCTACACAAATGCAGAATAACACCGTCAACTGTACATGTCCTGGTTCAGACTAGGGCTTGTGTCCATGCAAATGTGTAGTGTGGGTCTACACAAATGCAGAATAACACCGTCAACTGTACATGTCCTCGGCCGTGGGCTCGGCACTGTGGCTACTGTGGACGCTGTGTTGGCTGTACCTCTCACCCTTAGAGTTCTCCACCTTACCCTGGCTGCTATGCCCGCTATGGCTATGCCCGCTGTAGCTCTCACTGATGGAATACCTGCTTCGGAATATTTTCATCCTCCCTTCCTCGTGTATGGTCCCTGTGTTAGCAACAAACCCGTTTTTCCGAATAGGATTTCCGTTAAGTTCTCGGTCCTTGAAGCTGGATATTTTCCCTTTACCGAGCTGATTTAAGAAGTAAAGTTCCCGGTAACTCGTCATGCTTGACCTTGATCCGATCTGAGGTCGTGCAGAAAATCGGATGACGGACCTGGCCGAGCCCCTGGTGTTGATCTGTTGTGTGCAGCAGAAAATCTGCTTGTACGTCCTGCAGAATTTGGCGCTGAACGCCATGTAGATGACAAAGTTCACAGACGAGTTCACCGTCTCTAAGAAGTACGTGACGTTACCGAAAATATTGTAAATGTTGCTCTGTGAGGCTTTACGGTTGTACTCTGTGTTGAACTGGTTGACTATGCTGTGAATAGCGCCGGGTAAAATACAGATAAGAAAGATTAAAGACACCATGAGCAGCATCAGTGTGATGCGGTTTTGCTCGTAGGTCGCGGAGCCGCCGCTGGGCATGGACCGACGGAATGACCACGTTCGTCGGATGGCGCAGGCGATGAGGATGTTGACCAAGATGAGGACGAGGATGGGTATGAACCGGAAGGCGATGTTGAGGATGTTGCCGTAGATGTTGAAGAAGAGCGTGTTGTTGCCCAGTTTGGTGAGGCCCGTGGTGTAGACGGTCTGGTTGTTGCGTACCTCCAGGCTGCTGTGGTACTTGAGCGCCATCGGGATGAAGGCCACCAGCGTCACCAGGTAGATGAGCAGGATGCACGTGACGGTCATGGCCCGGCTGCACATGACCTTGGCCTTCATGGGGAAGTAGACGGCTATCAGCCTCTCCACGCTGAGCATGGTGGTCAGGCAGGTGGTGATCCGAGCTGTGACGACACTTCCGTAACTGCCGAGCAATGGGAACGTTATGGCTCTGTGGGAAATGATGGAATAGTAGTGTTAGCTGCTACTTGATACGTATAGCATATATAAAATTAATATTATGTGGATATTGAACTATTTCATATTTACATACGTATACATATGTCTATTGCTTATATTTACACACACACACATATATATATATATATGTATACACACATATACCCACTTAAACATATATCTATATGTTTGTGAGAATATTTAATTTATATTCAGCACGTAATTGATATGCGGGACGGAGTGGTCTAGCGGTAGAGAGCTGGACTGCTAACCCGTAAGTCTCGAGTTCGAATCCGGGTTCAAGTCAGTAGACCGTCCCTGAGTCCACCCAACTCTGATGGGTACCTAACTCACGTTAGGGAAAGTAAAGGCGGCTGGGCATAGTGCAGACCACACTATCTCTTCATATGTCGAGGTCACAGAAACAAGTGATTTCTACGTCACTTGCCCCATAGACCGTCAGGTTTGAAAGAGAAACTTTACTTTTTTACTTTACGTAATTGATATAAAATTAATCTGTATTTGACGGTTAATTTGAATGTTGCGAGCATGTTTAGATCAGCGAACTTTGACATGGAACATGACATCTAGCATAGAAAAAAAATAGAATAAATCCCTTGTGCAAACTTGCGCTATCTGCGCGCGCAAGCGATGACGCCATAGATCAAAGCAAACGCCGTGGCTCATTAGCGGGCAGCGGAGTTCAAGTGGGCTATGTTTGAACTCTATTTTCAATAAATCGATAGCCTAGCCTTTCTCTTCTCTCCCCATTAGTGTCGTCGCTATAAAGTATCTTACACACTGTTTACAATCTGTCAATGTTGTGGTATGGTGTTTAAATGTTACGGCGGTGGTTATTTTAAAGTATGTACATACATGTTTGTTTTAAGTTTGGCATACACAAACACCGTGGTATGCTGTAGGAAAAACGGAACCCGGAAATGGATTATGTTATCTTACCAAAAGCGCGAACAGTATTTTCGTTGATAAAACGAAACCCGGAAATATTTTTTCTTACCCCCCCCCCCCCCCGCCCTGCTATGCTGTAATCATATTTTTTCAAAGCATGTTTATACTTCGTATGATCAGTAACAGTTTATCCGATGATGTAACGCAACCCGGAAATAGAACGCTTAACTGCCGATTCTCCCCTGCTATGCTGTAAATCACATTTTTCAAAGCGCGTTTATAGTTCATATGGTCCCTAACACTATTTCCTATGTCACGCAACCCGGAAGTGTATTATCTTACCTCAGGTAATCCCCTATCATGCCGTTATCACATTTTACAATTATAGTTTATGGTCCCTTACAATATTTCCGAAGGTGTCCGGCAACCCGGAAGTGTATTATCTTACCTCAGGTCCCCCTCCCCCTACCATGCATTCATCACAATTTTCAAATATCGTTTATAGTTCATATGGTCCCTAACAATATTTCCGATGATGTTCCGCAACCCGAAAGTGTATTTTCTTACATAAGGTTCTCCCCTACGATGCCGGTATTATGTTTTTCAAATATCGTTTATAGTTCATATTATGGTCCCTAACAATATTTCCGAAGGTGTTCCGCAACCCGGAAGTGAAGTATCTTACCTGAGGTTCTCCCCCGCCACAGGGTTTCTCTGCACGTACAGGCGCAGGAAGGAGAAGTAGAAGGCGTGGAGCAGGAAGAGCAGGTCGGACACGGCGAGGGCCGCCAGCACCATGTTGGTGGCGTTCCTCATCCGGTGGTGCACCAGCACCCGCAGGCTCAGCACGTTACCCACACAGCCGAAGACGGAGAAGCACGGGATGAGGACCATCACAAAGATGAGGGTAGTCTGAAACAGAGAAGGGGGGGGGGCGGTTAGGTAACATGAGACTGTTACTGGTGAGCAAGGCAATTAGATTGTATTTGTAATGGTTGCTGTGGGCTGCGTGGTCCGATGGCAGGGGTTACGACTGGTAACCCGATAATCGCGGGTTCGGATCCCGGTTTCTAGTCCGTTGGACTTCCCTTAGTCCACCTAGCTTTGATTGGTACCAAACTCACGTTAGGAAAAGTAAAGGCGGCTGGGCATTGTGCTGACCACACTATCGCCATTGAAGGTCAACGTCATTGAAACATATGAGCTCCACTTTATCTGTCTCAGGCACGAATGGGAAAAGATGATAATGGTTGATGGATTAAGCGGTAATAAGACTGTGCTTGTAAATAAAAAGTGAATATGTTTGATGGTGTCACTCAACTTCTTACAGTAAAAAGTTCATACACTCAAACGGCCCTGTAATGATATTGATACATTTGGCTAAATTATAAATACAAAATTTGATGTCATGAAATCAATACATCGAACCATATACGTTCCCGTTGTTTGTTGTTTTTTTTTTGTTTTTTTTTTAATTATATAAGAAAGAAAAAAAATGAACTTCTATGCTTTGACCTTGTTTTAGTACCAAAACAAGTTCATTAGCCTACTTAAGGCGGATATAATATTTCTCGTTGATGAGGGTCAAATATAGCAACTAGCAAAAAATAAGTTGTTTGCGTTAGAAAAAATAATCGACATCTTTACAACTACATATTAAATCTGGTTTTCAAGCGAAACAAAAATACTACCGACAGACTACAGACAACGGTGTCAATGTATGCTAAAGCTGCGTGGGTGTACCAATCAGACAGCATTATTTACAGGGCCGTGCTTTCCTGTGACAGTGATGGCGTCTAACAACCATATTTCACGCGTCAGACGACTGATCCAAGTGAGGGCATGTTTGTGTCGGTGTTTACTTCAGTTGTGTACAATAACCCCCTTGTCGCCACAGCGGTTTTTATCTAGGTAATTAAGATCATCCCGTCATGTTGGACCATCAGCAGGAAAACATGGTATGAACGACAATAATGGATGCTAGGGGAGGCCTTGGGTTTATTGCGACTTAGTTATAACCAGCAGGTGCGCTTGCATATATATATATATATATATATATATATATATATATATATATATATATATATATATATATATATATATATATATATATATATATATATATATATATAATTTATGTGAGTATATAATAATATATACTCAAATAATTAAACTTATAATCGATTGGCTAACAAGGTGTATTCCCGCGTCGCATGGTTGTGGCTTGCACCTGTATTTCACCTGAGGAACCACAGACCAGCTGTTCACGTTTCTAGTTAGTGATAAATGTAGTGATAATAAAGCCAGGTGTAACATTGTTTACTCTCGTCTTGGTGGTATTCGCTGCGTGTTTACTGTGATCACTAAGTAGTCATTGCACGATGGTTTACTGAGACAGTGCTGCTATGATGGTTCTTACAACAACATCCAACAGCATGATATCTGTACGTAAAGCAACACTAAACGTACCCCCAATTTACATTATGGTCTTAGGTTCCGTGTATGCGGAGATGACTGAGAGTCTAAATAGCCACACTTAAAAAAAATAATTTAAAAACTCCAACAGATATCTTACTACGTTTGACCTCCATGTATATATATTGCTGTGATAATGCAGCGAGATTGGCTGTAAGAGTTCAATATACCCCGACTACTTTTAAATAAATACATGTACCTACTGTTCTTATAAACATCTCCCTATTTTCTCCTTTTTTTAAATACAGACCTGATCAGCATTTTCGGCTTCTTTATTAAGCAATCGCCAAGAAAATGAAATACAAGTTAACCTAGGAATCAATTTGGTAATGTTTATGATTTGTAATGCCAATGTTCCCATCAGCTTTGTTTCTGTCATGCTACCAGATAGCCAGGCGTTACGAGACTTTGGTCTAATCCATTGATTGGCCCCGTATTGTACTTTCTAAAAGGGTACAATCGTTTTGTTTCGTTTCTAATTTGAGCCGATGTTTGACCCAGTTCTATCATATGCAAATTGGCTGGATTATTTCTGGGACATTTTTTTTTCTATGCTTAGTAGTTTTTTTTATTTTTATTTTGTCAGTCTCTAGCGTAATATGTATCTGTAGTTTCTTTTTAAAATGTCTTTTTTTCTTTGAATGAAAACGACACATTCAAATTGTGCTGTAACAGTGTCTTCTAAAATACAGTACATTCTAAACTAGGTTATATATCTTGAGGAATACAGTACATTCTAAATTAGGATATATTATCTTGAGCAAAACAGTAAATTCAAACTAGCATGTACCAGTATTTTTAGAAATACAGTACATTCAAACTAGCCTGTACTAGTATTTTGACAAATACAATACTTTCAAATCAGCTTGTAACAGTATCTTGAGAAATACAGTACATTCAAACAAGCCTACAAAAAAAAACAAGCGTACGTATATTGAAGGAGCCGGTTTTATTTATAGCACCTCTCGGAGTAATATAATGCAAGCCATCGGGTATCAAGTACGATTCGAATGATGAGGACAAAACGGCTTGTCTGTAACTTGTATTACGTGTCTAGAATATATTATTAGCATCAGCAATTGGGCCATTTTTTTTTTATTCCAGCGTCTTATAGAGATGTACGTAGAACCGGCGTATTGATTCCCTCGGCGAGCCCGGATCATACAGCTGTCGTGTTTAGCGAGACGCGAGTTATGTAACGTTAAACATTAGCATCTCGTGGGGAATTTGGGCGTTTCTTGGCGCACGTATGCCCGGTGTTCGCTCGGCGTCGTAAGGGAATATCCGGTTGTTGTCTTCCCTATATTTTGTGATACGACAGGGCGTGTTAGGTGCTATTTTTATGATAGTAAAGTCGAGTAGGGATGAAGTAGAGTTCATGTGTTTCTTGACCTTGGCATATGAAGGAATGGTGTTACGTATTATTTTCCCCAATGTAAGTGAGGTACCCACCGGAGCTGGTTGGACTCAGCGAAGTATGACAGTCACAAGTGTGAACCGAGATCCGAACTCGAAACCTGTGGTAACAGTCAAACGCTCTAACATTCGACCACACCGTTCCACAATTTCTATGCTAGTATTGCCACCCTAAACCTGTTTTTAGTTCTGACCCTAACCCACAAACTTAATTTATCACCTACCCTAATCCTTAATCCCTAATATAGATACATGCAGAAAGAAAACTGCCGATTCGACATTTTATTGTTCTTCCGTTTAAAAACAAACAAGAAAAGACTATGTAAAAAATACTAATCCGTCATTCCATTGGCTGAATGGGGTTGACCACAGGTTGTCATTTTAAAGTACGTACCAATTGAAACTTTTCCTTGCGAAAACTAATCATCTCTCGTCTGTATTTCTCTCCCCCCCCCCCCCTCCACCTTTTTTTTTATCTTTTTCTCTTCTTCACCTAAATTATCCTTACTAGATTAGTGGTTTACACTCTTACAGTAAAAAATAAGTTTAATCACCAAAGACAAAACATTCCTTATTTACGGACTTAAAGTTCATCAAAATTTTGCTAATACTAATTTTAGCATTACACCAAAACTGTTCCGTATTTAATTTTAAATATTTAATTATTGACCCTATCCAAACAAAGATTAATTTCATTTCAATTAAAATTCATTTAAAGGAGATCGTTAAAAGGAAACATTATAGCCACTACATCACTAAGTTTCTAAAATTGGAAGTGTTTGTTTTTTTAGTTTAAAAACTTATTTACTTGAAATTTTCATGAGTAGAAAAACAATTTGTAATCCTCGAGAGATAATTTGTAGCGCTTGGGAGACCACTTGTAGTGCTGAAAAGTTTATTTGTTGTGCTGAAAAGATAATTTGTAGTGCGGAAAAGATCATTTGTTGTGTAGGACTAACGTTGAAGCTACTTCTTTTGACACGAACCCAACCCTTTTCATCCTGTCCTATCTTACAAATGGACTGTCACAAACTCGTCGCTTCCGCTTTGTTAAAAATTTTGAGAAATCTACTCTCTCCTACGATTGATTTTTCTTGCCTGAAGGTCGTGGGTTTAAAATTGAAATTTCTACAGAGCAGAACTCGATATTTTAAAGCGCTTGTCACCACCGGCTTAATTGTTGTATTTTGGGAAACGTCAATCATCAAAGTAGGTTAGGCATCACTGAATTACCAGTGTCTTTTCTCAAGTCCTAGACATTGCCTATTCTCAATGAAGTACCAGTACCTTTAGATATTGCCTATTCTCACTGAAGTACCAGTACCTTTAGATATTGCCTATTCTAACTGAAGTACAAGTATCTTTTCTAAAGTCCTAGACATTGCCTATTCTGACTTAAGCATCTGTGTCTTTTGTTGTCCCACATATTGCCTATTCTGACTTAAGTACCAGTATCTTTTCTCAAGTCCTAGATATTGCCTATTTTGACTAAATTACCAGTATCTTTTCTCAAGTCCTAGATATTGCCTATTCTGACTAAATTACCAGTGTCTTTTCTCAAGTCCTACATATTGCCTTTTCTGAATAAATTACCAGTATCTTTTCTCAAGTCCTAGATATTGCCTATTCTTACTAAATTACCAGTATTTTTTCTCAAGGCCTAGATATTGCCTATTCTTACTAAATTACCAGTATCTTTTGTCAAGTCCTAGATATTGCCTATTCTGACTGAAGTGACCTTGGCCTACCTCCCCAAATCCAAGTTACCCAAATAGCTGATCAGATTATTGGAAAGTCCGCGACTGTCATCGGGGACCAGAGTGGAAGGAAATGTGTATCAAATAAGATCAAGGTCGCCAACGTGCTTTAATTTGTACTCAACTAGACGTCTTGAGCGTCGTGAAATAGTTTTTTTTATGCTGTGTGTGCCTTAAAGGGTTGATTTTTAGACTTCAGTTTTCGGGTTTATTGCTCTTTTTATTTTTCGCCATTTTAGTTTAAAAAGATGCACGCGGGAGCAAAATTAAACAACTCTGAGCCTGCGGCAAAAAAAAAACAACAGTAGTTCGTTTGACTGTTATTATGTTGTTAGAACTTGAAATCCATTATGAAATATCAACGATTTATGTGGTACCTATGTTTAGAGACCTGGGTAAGCCACATCCTTGTTCAACTCTAAACACGTAGTAGTATTTAAAATGTAGGCTACATGTGTGAATCTTGAGTCGCTAACAGGGCATGTAAGTGAGAGGATAGTTAAATAGCAATGAGACAAGTACAGATTTTATCAATATGTGTGAACTTTGAACTGCTAGCTGGGCATGTAAAGTGAGAGTTTACGGAGTTAAATAGCCATGAGATAAGTACCGACCTTATCAATAATACGTATGAACTTAGACTTGCTAGCAGGACATGTTAAATGAGGGTATAGTTAGTTAAATAGAAATGAGATGAGGGACGAAGTGGTCTAGCGGTAGAAAGCTGGACTGCTAACCCGTAAGTCTCGAGTTCGAATCCGGGTTCTAGTCAGTAGACCGTCCCTGAGTCCACCCAACTCTGATGGGTACCTAACTCACGTTAGGGAGAGTAAAGGCGGCTGGGCATAGTGCTGACCACACTATCTCTTCATATGCCGAGGTCACAGAAACAAGTGAACTCTACTTCACTTGCCCCATAGACCGTCAGGTTTGAAAGGGAAACTTTTTTTTTAGACTTGATAGCAGAGCATGCAAAGTGAGAGTTTACCGAGTTTAATAGCAAAGAGATATGTACCGACCTTATCAAGAACTTGTCTGCTGACCATTTGTTGCGGCGAGTCTGGGTCCATCCTTCTAATCTGGGGATTATCCGACCTCCTGGTCAGGTTGACGTACAGGTAATAATCCACGATTTTCTCGCTGGGCGTCGTCCCCGCTGCCGTAAAGGTGGAGGAGGAACCGGCCCAGGTGGCGTTGAACATCTCGTAGCTGTGGGGCTGGAGGAGTCGCTCGGTGATGTTGCGCGACATCTCGTCGAGAAACAGGCTGGTGATGTTCAGCAGACAGCCGGCTGTTTGGTTGAGGCAGTTGGCTGTTGCCTGGTGGTCGTGCTGGTTCAGGTTGTCATTTCTATAGTAGCCTGGTACGGAGTCACTTAGCTCCATGTGGTGGGCGTGTCAACACGGAAGTGACTTGCGGTGGAGCATCTAAAAATATATCCCACTGCTCTATTTATATATAGATATATCGAGTTGTTGAATCAATGTTTGGTAAAAGTCAATAGGAAAACTCTCATGTATAAATATACATTTCTGTTAAAGTGGATTTATATATCTACCAAGTTGGTTGTTGTTTTTTTAAAAGAACTATCAGAGTACATAAATTCATTTGGAAATCGTGAATTATTATTTATACATTGGTATCTTTAATATTTTTTTGCGTGATAGTAGATCTGGTAGTTTCTAGCGGGAAAACTATCACTGATAAATAGACGTTGATTGTTAACGTTGAGTGCAAATAGGACTTGATACCCGCTCTGAAGCGACACGGTACTGAGTGTTGGGCAGTGGCATCGTCTTCCAAGTGGTCGCGACAAGTGCTCACCTAGGATTGGCCTAGGTAACCTGTTGAAGAAGTTTAGTTTCCAGAGACCGCCCGTAGCGTGTGTGCTGTAGCAGCCTTAATACCGTGAGCAGCCGCAGTTATCGATCTGACCTTTGAACTTTGAGAGTCTGTCGCGTATGTCAGGGATCACCAGGGCACTTATCACTGCCGCAGTGCCGAGATCGCTTTAGTCTCGCTGCCTGTACACAGGCTTTCACTGACCTTGACCTAAAATTTAAATTAAAAAAAAAACAACATAAAAATAAATAAAACCACTTTTAAATATTTTAAATATTTAAAGTACATATTAGTTTTATCCCCCCCCCCCTAATACAATGATGTACGTTTTCGAAATAATTAGACATTTTCAAATGTTTTATATAAAGCAATTGCATTTTAGTATAGAATCTTTTCCATTATGGTAAAGCACATTTTCTGAATGTTGAGCAATAACCGCATCTGTATGTTTTACTTCAATCCATCAGGTTTTCATTAGAATTGTGCTTGATTTAAATCTGTTAGAAGTGTCAGTCTACTTTTCTAATGTCTAGAAAGAGGGGTAGGGTATGACCTTCCCTGTAAATCAATACACCTGGAAAAAATGTTTCTAATTAACCAAAAATTATGAAATCAAGTAATCCACGATGTCTGGATTTTAATATCAGAGATCTCGGTCGGGAATAATTGAGTTTCTCCTCCACATTACCCCCTCAACCACCACCACCACACCCTTGAAAGAAAAACTTTAAAAATAAAACGCAATCTGTCAGCGTCAGATTGATGTTGATCGCACTTTAAAGATCTGTTATGTCATTAGCCAAGAAAAACACGAACAAAAGTCTAATAGACCTAAATTATTTGTGTAGTTAATAGTGTTGTCGACTTCCGATTTATTTAGGTCTGAAGCAAACCCATTAGTAAGGCCCTATTTTCTTATGTTTCTTTTTTAGTTAACTGAGGTAAAAGTGCAGTTATTTTTCTCTTGATAGAAAATTAACCAGGGCGCCTTAAAAATGTTGTGTTATATCTCCTTAAAGATGGTCTAGATGTTTCTAACGCCTCATCCTGGCATTTCTTAATTTGGCTAGTTAGTGTACGCTGGGAAATATATCGGGGGAAAAAAGAAAACATGTAAGGGAAATAACTCTGCGTCAAGAGTTCAGTCCACTCGAGATGGGATCAATGAAAAATGACCTGGTCAAATAATATTATAATTAATATAATATAAAAACATTTCTGTCATCGAACTTGTCATCTCACAAAACAACGGGATTTCAGAATGTTAATCCTTTATCTCTTTCCTGTGTGACCTTATTTTTATTACAGTAAACAGAGAAAAATCGTTCCGTACATAGCTAATGATGTGGGTAAAATGTTAAAATTAATATCAAGGACGTAAGCATTGTTTACATTGAATGACAGACTGTATCATATATATATATATATATATATATATATATATATATATATATATATATATATATATATATATATATATATATATATATATATATATATATATATATATATAAATGTATATATATACATGTCCATCTTTACACACATGCACACTCACATATATAAATACATCATTACTACGTTGTATGTATATATACAAACATGTTTACATACACATATATACACATCTTTACAAATACGCGACCGCATACAAACACACACACACACCCACACACATATGTATATTTATATATATATATATATATATATATATATATATATATATATATATATATATATAATGATGTTAATGATGTAGTAACATGACATCAAGACACCTCCAGATAAAGCCTATCTGTACGTAAGCCGAGCATACAGGGAGGTGCTTATATAAATTACGTTATTCTTGTTTGTCTATCTCCCGCTATCTCTTTTATTCCCTGATACATTATACGCCACGCTATCACTGGCACGGCGGCCAGGATAGACCAGCCACTGCTGCAGTCTTGGTTAATTATTCGTTTTTTTTTTTGTTTGTAATGTCGTCCTTGTGTTACGAATCTTGTTTATTGAAGGTTAAATAAAACTCGTGCATGATGTTTATTGTATGCAGGGATTCTAAAATTGGGGATGATTAAATCTTAACTTCTCTTTTACGATTGCATTAAAAGGTTAAGAGAAAAAAAAATAAAAATAATAATAAAAAACGTTTGGGAGTTATTTTTATTTATCTTATCTCTACTTTACTGACCACTTACGGATCCCTACTTATGCTGAGGTCTCACAAATAGGGGGACTCTACTTCGCCTGTTTTATTGAGCGACATGTCCAAAAGAGTTACTTTAAAAAATATCTACCCTAAAACAATTTTAAAGTCGTGATCGAGTGGTAGCACACTGTTGACAACGTTAGCTTCCGAGGGTTCGAGTCCGAAAGACGCACATGAAGCTACCTAGCTATGTCGGGTACTTGCCATAATTCCTTTCATAATTCTTAGTCATAGATGAGCTATGGTAATTTACATGCTACTTACTATTCTGACTCTAGAAATTAGATGCTATATAGTAATTTACTTCCTCCTTACTATTCTGGCTTTAGTTTGAATCTTAACCCGACACTAGAATTTTTTTTTTAATTAAAATTCGATTAGGAACTGTCGTCATTCTGAAGAACATTGTACACCAATAAATAACATAGACAGAACTACATTGTTTCCTCTGAGTAATTGAGAAAATGTACGAGAAATCTTCAATGTTAAAATATTACTAACTCTACTTCCATTGGGTTCAATGTAAGTTTGACTTAGCTAGTGTTTTAGTATGTTTAAGGGGTCATTCAGCATTGCTCGAGACCCATTCCCGTCAGTCATTTACAAGTATGTAGATCTAGTGAGTACATAAATAAGGAAGTTTACTGCTGCTGTGTCTAACAGATGGCCGGACACTTGACCACTGCCCAGTGACGTTTACAGCGTTAACGCGAGTTATGGTGTTTTAATAGGGACTCTGCCACTTTAACAGCTTGGTCAAACTTGGGTGGTGGTTTCTGGAAACCGGACCTGGGATCTTGTCCAAATCTCGTGATATCCTATCCTGATATCGTAAGAGCTCATCCAGATCTCGTGAGATCTTAGCCAGATCTCGTGAGAACTTATCCAGGTCTCGTTAGCCGTGTTTATGTAGAATTGGTAGGTTTAACGCCTGGGTTGAAACTAGCTGTTAAGGACACTGTTTTCTTAATTATTCAGATACTTTTCATTAAGCTGTAGTCACTTAATTTAGTACAAAAGATCTCTAAAAACACAGTAGCCCTAGTGCTAATATTCATTTTCTCCTTGCTATGTGGATTGAGCATCGCTTTTTGACAATATCATCTTTACAAAAATGCGAGAATGTCGATACAAATATTTAATATCAAATGTTATATCATGTATTTTCAGGTTTTCATAGACACAGTATTTTGAAGATGTACGTTATTTCGGAACATATTTCTTTCATAATTTGAGAACCCCTTTATTTCTTAGACTACGAATGTCTTGATGCTCTTTTTAAAGCCATAATTAACAGCCTTAAAATGCCGAGCTAAGTTCATGCGGTGAAGATTTATAATTAGAGAAACTCGTTGTGACACACATTTCGACAAGGCCCACTTTTTTTTTTGGGTTGAATGGGTTGAGACTTATATTAGTTGAAGAAAAAAGTCTTATGGCCCATTTTTCCCCATAGTTGTACGACTTCTCTCAAGTAGGATGAAGCTAAAAGCGGCCTTAGACATAACATGATTATGGTCTTTATTGAACCATATATAAAGCGGCTATTTCCGTCTTGCAGTCAGTATTTATTGTCATTGCGAAATCATGAGGTCGTTGGGGTAGAAACGAGAGGAAGGGAGGGGGAGGATCATTATACGCCATTCATCCTACAGTAAAACGCCTCATCTGTACACTTGCTATTCTTGCTATTGAAATGTATTCTTTATGCTATAAATAGGTTTCCGGATTTTTTAAAAAAATGGTGTGGATTTTAAATTTTAAGATGGGAAAAAATATTTAAAAATTGAATTAAATTGACGTCATAGGATTGAATTAAACTCACGAAACGTGCCATAACTTTTTATGAACTTGGTATCGTTGGATTTTTTAAATATGGTGTTTAAGGGGGGAAATGTAGTTATTTTTCTTGGGGGGGGGTATGAAAAGCAATAGTTTGTAGAATAAAACTATGGTGCTGGAATGCTTTCAACGGTAAAAAAATTGTACCAAAAAACTGATAACAATCAATGAAATAATAGAATTCAAGCGGTAGGATGGTTTATGCCACTTCTCTACCGGGAATATTGTAAAGTTAAATAGTAATCAGTAAGTATCTACTGCCACGTGAACCTAAGTCACGGGCAGGGCAAGGTATTAATAATGTTGCAGCAGCTAGTAACAGCAGGCAGTAACAGTGCAAAAAGCCAAGTCCGATGACCACTTGTGTTTACAAGTAAATTTAAATAGCAGGACTGATGACTACGGAACAATTCAATGTTCAATGCCCGCAGTTTACAGCATGTAATAAAGTCAGAATTTACTTAATAAACACAAAGCGGAGGCTATTAGCAT